ACTACAGCATAACCTCCTCCCCCCAACCAATCAATCAATGGTTCCATCGGCATCAACCGTCCTCCTCAGGTTAAGTTTCAACGTCTAGACCCACAGCTGTTGGTCTCCTCCAGGTCCCTTCTTCCAGAAGGCTGCAGGGTTGACGGCCTTCCTTCAACCACCGGTTCCATCCCTACCTTCTCTCGCTCTCTATAGGACTAACTTGCCGTTTTCCCGAACGTCACTTTCTTCTCCGCATTTGCTTTCCCTTCCCTTCCCTCCTCTCTTTCTCTTTCTCTTCCAGTACGAGTACCTAACCCCGCCAAAAAAGCAAGCTCTGCCTTTCCGGTCATTTTCTGCTTGAAATCCAGACTTTTTGCCCGCGAACCTGCCTCGACGAGGCTTCGACGTACTCCTCGTCTATTAGTATCCCCCACCCCCGCCATAGTCCGAAGCACTGAGCACACCGTTCCCTCCTCTCCTGACACATACATACAACTTCCTCTTGACAGACCTTGTTTGGCGCTAATTCTATCCAGAGACCTGTTGGTTGTTCCTTTTTACCCCCGGGAGCAAAACACCGCCTCTCTCTTTCTAACCCACCCACCTCGCCGCGTGACAGTTTCTTGCCTCCCACTCTTCGCCATTCCTCAGACGGAGCCCACTTTCTCTCTCTCTCTCTCTTTTCCCCCTCCCTCCTTCTCCCCTCCCCCTCTTTTTCTCTCTCCCTCTTATCTCTCTTTCTCTCCCTCCCTCGCTCCTTCTCCTCTCCCCCTCTCCCTCTCATTCTCTCTCTTCCTCTCTCTCCCTCTTTCTCTTCCTCCCATTCTCTCTCTCACACTTTCGTTCTCTCTCCCCTTCCCTCCCTTTTTCTCCCTTTCCCTCTATCTCCCTTTCTCTCCCTCCCTCCCTCTCTCCTTCTCCCCTCCCCCTCTGCCTCTCTTTCTCTCTCTCCTTCCCTCTCTCCCTCGCTCCTTCTCCTCTCCTCCTCTCCCCCTCATTCTCTCTCTTCCTCTCTCTCCCTCTTTCTCTTCCTCTCATTCTCTCTCTCACACTCTCGTTCTCTCTCCCCCTTCCCCCCGCTTTTTCTCCCTTTTCCCTCTATCTCTCTTTCGCTCTCCCTTCCTAGATTTGCAGGTCGCCCTTCTCTCTTTTTCACCCACCAGCCCCAGCCGCCGAGTCTCGGTACCTCTCTCGTCCCACGTACTCGCGCCCTGGCCTCTCTGCGGGGAAACTCCTCACATTTACCCGCCACAACGCCGGCCGTCAATGCCTGCCCCCACTCGTGTGGTTAGGAAAGAGGGGAAGGCGGCGGCGCTTCTGCCCCCCCCTCCCCCACTTTTTTTTTTTTACATCGCGCACCTCCCGAAAGCGCCTCCGCGAGTCTCTTCCCCCTTCAGGACCCGTTTCCTCGCAAAGAGCCCGAGACTTTGGGGGGGATTCTCCGCTGCGGCTTTAGCGCCTCTGCCCACAGCAAGCTTCCCTTGGGGGGCATTTCGGGCCGAATTCGGCTGAATTCGGCCGGATGAGTGTCAGGGCTCGCTCCGCTGCAGGAAAAAAAGTGATCAGGCACGCACCATCCGGAGCGCATCTTTAGTGAGGCTGTGTCGACGAGGCAATCCAGAAAGCCCCTCAGCCCGCCCTTCCCATCCGTAGACTCCAAGCACGAGTTTAGAGCGCGCCAGCCTTCCCCATCCCGCTCCTCGTCAAACAGGGTCCAAATCTCGGCGGGACGGCTGAAAGAGAAGAGACGTTGCTGTCTCTTCGAGGGATTTATATAAGCCCGCGTGGCTACGGCTGCCGTATATAAAGCAACAAAACCCGGAAAGGGGGTGGGATTTCAAAGCAAAGCCTGTTTCAATGGACAGCTAGATACTTCGAAAACCTCGCTCTCCCCGTCTCTCCCCCCCCCCCCCATCCCACGCCCGAGTCCTTGGGTGGCTATTCAAAGGAAATGTCTATCCGTGAACGTGGGAGGTTGCTCCGATCAAAGCCATAAGACTTTGGCCGTCTGAGCCGCCGGTGGTGCTTTGATAGAGCCGCCTAACTTTGCGCCATCAGGAAACGAAGGTGGCGGGCTTTATAGGGGGCGGCGGGCTCAACTTTACAGCGAAGGTATTAGACAGTATTAAGGGAAGCCATCCTGGGAGTGGGGATCAACAGATAAGAAGAGGCTGCCATCCTGTATATATATATTTTTGACCCTAACTCGGGGGGCAAATTGGGAGGGGGGGGGGGGGGGTGGGTGGGGGGGACAGCAGAAAGGAAAGTATGGATCCAGTTTTTTACACGGAGCTGGCAAAGACATCCCTAACGTTTGGGGGTATTTCAATCCCCAGGCTCTTAGTTTCGGCCTCGGGCTCACCACCTTCCCCACCCTGGGTGCTGCAGGTGCTGGATTTCACCTTCAGTAATCCCAGGCCTGACCGCTGGTGAATTGGGGGCCGGTTAATTCATTCGTCGGGAAGGAATTCAAATGGTCGTGAATTCCACGTAGGATCCTGGTCTCTGAGGCGCTTTGCTGTGGATCTGGTTCCAAACCCCTTCAACCCAGAGATCTCCTTCTTTCCCTTCTAAAAGTTTTAAGTTCGCCCTGTTCCATACGGAGAAGGGAGAAAAGTTTCCAACAGAGCTCTTTGAGATTAGAATCAAAGCTCATCCGGCCCAACTTCGAGTCCAGTTTACTTCAGAGGTTCTGTTTCATCCAGCTAAAAAAAAACATCCATAGCACCTTACCTTCTAAACTAACTTCCTCGTCCCAGCATCTCCATAACTCCCATATGGACAGCGCTGGCTTGGGGAACATAGTTCCAGCGCATTTTTGGAAGACTTGGAGATAGAGGCACAGCTCTGTGTACCTGTGGATTTTCTTCCAGTTCAAAACCTTTCTCCAAAAGAGCTCATATCGGGCTTACAAGAACCTCTCATTTTATGCTTGGGTGAACAAGAGTGACTCCCCAACGTTATCCAGTGGACTCTATGGTCAAGTAGGAATTTGAACCTGACTACTCTGGACCCCAGTGGCACCGAAGCAAGGAAGTAGCATGGATGTGTTCCGGTTCTCTATCAGACTTCCTACATCTAGTATCTCTCTTTCTGCCAGGCGTTATCAGACCATCCCAAGTGTTTTTTAGAAACCTATAAGCAGGGTTGGAAACCAGTTGTTCTCTCCCAGCGTTTCAAGTAACCAATGAAGCCCCAAAGTGGACAAAATTAGGCATATATTCCACTAATTTATAGAACTCCGTTACAAAGCCAGTGCTAGCCCTTGATCAGACTGATGCAATAGTGGCTACTGACAGAAACTGCCTCAAAAAACTGCCCAGACCTCACTTCCTGGGGGTGAGAGAACCATCTGTTTATTGATATTTCTGCTGCAAATAGCTATCTCGACTAGGACCGATGCCTTTAAAAAGCAACTGGATTGTTGGAGAGACTATGCTGTTTCATCACCTTCACCGGGCTTAATTGTTCAGGGAGCGTTTCTATTTATTTTCAGAAAAAGGTTGGGAGATTCGAACTCTCTCGTCAATATTCCTGAGTGTTTGTCTCCTGCCTCTTTCCCGGGGGGAGGGGGAGGTAAAGTGGTAGCTCCTCTCTGGCTTCTTCAATGAAGAGTGGCTAGCCCCTGGCTTTGCAACGGAGTTGTGTAAATTCATGGAATATATGCCTGACTAAATAGACCATACATTCCAACTTCGAAACAATTGATTTCCAACCCTACTTATAGAAAACTTCTGGGTTTAATGGATGGCTGTCTGGCAGGAAAAAAAATACTATGGTAGATGTAGGAAGTCTCGTAGAGAAGTACAAATCCATACTATTTTCCTTGCGTCAGTAGACGAAACCAAGCGAGATGCAAAAAGTGACACAAGATAATTCCAGATTGGGATTCACCCTTTCCGCCAATAAACCTTAGGGGCATACCCGGGGAGGCGGGGACCGAAAGAGAAGTAGAGAAGGGTGGAAAACGCAGAAGCGATTAACAGAGGCTTTTCCTTCAATGAAATTTAGTCCTCTGCAGCGACTCGGTTATCAATAGGACGAACCTATTAAGTGAGGCTATTTAAATACTGCTTATTAAGTTTTAAATTACTGTCGATAGGACACACACACACACCTTCTTCGCTGTGCAGATACATCAGCGAAAGCTGATGACCCAGAATTAGTAAAACCCTTGAAGATCCAGTTTCCCGGAAAGCGAGGACGGGGTGAATTACAAGGCAAAACTGCATCCCTCTTTGGGCCAGTCGGGCTAA